AGCATGGTGACACAGGTCTATAGTCCCAGCTACTTGAACGGCTGTGCTGGAGGATCACCTAAGCCCAGGAAGCAGAGATTGCAGTGAGCCAGGATTCCACCACTGCACTCCAGCCTGGGTGACAAAGTGAAACCTCATCTCAAAAAAAAAAAAAAATCAAAATGCTTCTTACATGAAAGACTATATTCAAGGTACTCCAGGACACACGCAAATATGTTTATTGACCTCCAGTGGCTCATGGTACACAGGAGCTTTAAATGATTATTTAAGCAACTAAATATAAAAACTTCTGAAATTAGAAATTTCAGAATGTGATATAGGAATTTTAAGTGGATATTTTAAATAAACTATACTGACAAAATTATGATGTTAAATTCCTACCATATTGGTATTAAGCGTCTTTGCTTTTAAAAGTGATTATTTGTGGAAAATACATGTTATTCAATTAGATGAAGTGTTTTACATAAACCCTTCATGGACAACTTATAAAACACAGAAACACCTTTGTAATACAAATGTTGAGAATGTAAATTTAAATTTCTACATTTTCGTGATTAATATTTTTAAATCAGATACAGTCTTGTTGTGTTACCCAGGCTGTACTCAAACTCCTGGGCTCAAGCAATCCTCCTGCCCCAAACTCCCAAGTAGCAGGGACTACAGCTGTACACCACCACACCCAGCTATTTTTACAATGTAATATTATTTTTTGTCTCACTACAGTACCAAGAATATGAATGGAAAAGCAATCTCTCCTAAAAACTATATAGTACCAAAATAATGTGTCCAAGATAAAAAGCTATATGCTATGTGCTGTACAGATTTCAACTAAAAGACACCAGGGTGATTCCATGATTACTACAAGTCATTTTGATTCACTGAATATTTATACAGACATAAATATAATGAAAGTCATACAACTGTGATTTAAAAGTCAAAGTATTAATAATTATCCAAATGAAGCTGAACTAAATTTATTTTTTCCTCCATTGAGGGAAGCATTTTCAAATGTGATTTTTATCTCACTACATATTTTCCAGTTCATTTTTTTAAATCCCACCCTATTGTAGTACTTATCAATCTTTTGTTAGTTACCAAAGTTAAACAAATTTTTAAATCAACTAGCCATATGTCTTTCTCTGACCAACTTTCCATTACCAACATAAAACAATGATAGGTAACCGCTGCTAAATTTTAAAAATAACTACTATGTAAAACTAGATTCAGAGTGAGAAAATTAATTTTACAAGAGACCACTTTACCTTAGCAGCAACAGTCAAGACTTCACCGTCTGCTTTAGAGCGTGAATCAACACACGGGTCATGTAGAACTCTTTAGGGCAAAAATACACAATGAAAATAAGCAAGTTGATTTATTTACAAAGTTTTTAAAGTGCTAGTTCATATCCACCTTTCCCTTCCAAAATGCAAAAACACAATATGGTTTTTTTGTGTGTTTTGGAAAAGATCAGCTAGCTGTATATTAAATAATGTTTCCTGATATAATTAAAATATGGCCTCTGTTTTAAAAATGTATTTTAGTTACCTATTTCTGCTTCCACCTAAGTCTATAAAATATTCAATGAAAACTGACCTTTAACTCCATAGCAAATAATGACAGCCAATATATTGGTAGAGCCTGATAATAATTTACCCTCACAAATTATCTGTCTGAAAGTTGAACTTAAAATTTAATTAATAAATGATATAACTTTGCTACCTAAACTGGAAGACACGTGATGACCTGAAACAAGGTAGAAAGATCCAATGTCTCTTGTCCATGATCTATCTCTGGTTAAAAGACTAATCTGTGTCACTTCAAAATGGCAGTCTTGATTACTTAGCAGGGAAACCATTGAAGAAGGTCCAATTGCTTTTCTTTCCCCTAAAACAGTACAGGGAGTCCCCTGCAACATTTGAAATGTGTGAAAGCTAAATGTACAAAAGTCAAATAACAAAGGTGTACGTTCTGATTGACAATACTCATCCCAGAAAGATTAAAACGGCACAATTATAAAATTCCATAATTTTCACTCTATAGGTCCTACCTTATTCAGGTCCACATAAACTAGCAAGCTCCTAAAAACATTCATAGACACTCAGACACCCAAGGAGAGAGACTGCCGAAAAAACAGCGTCCTGGTAGTTGTACCTCTATTTCCCTAAGTACTATCTAAATATCTTTCTCCCCATGGGCTCCCACTTCCAGATTTTATTTCTGCAGGGTCCCACAGAAGTCTCCAATCTTTTAATCTTCAATCTATGAAAGCAGGATTTGTGAAAAGATTACCTCAAATGACCAAGAGTAGAAACCCTCTATATCCCTGCTCCTGAAAAACAAGCTAACTGGAGTCTCCAACACCTGCCCCCAGCATAGACACACTACCAACTACTCAACTGAATTCATGACTGATTTGCCAGCCAGTCATGACCCTGCTCCAGCTTACACAGACATGGAAAGGACATCAGTGAACTGGGAAAAGAGGCAGAATTCAGAATACACATGCCCTGAGGCACGAATCTATGTAGTTCAGCAATCTTCAGCCCCTTAGTAATCCAGGGGTGTGAAACCACCCGTCTGTAACTCAGGATGAAAGTAGATAATACCCAAGCAACACCAGATGTACAAGAAAAAAACAAACAAGCCCATTTGAAAGTGGACGAAGGATATGAAAAGACACTTGACAAAAGAAGACATACGTGAGGCCAACAAGCATGTACAAAAATGCTCATCATCACTGGTCATTAGAGAAATGCAAATCAAAACTACATTGAGATACCATCTCATGCCAGTTAGAATGGCGATCATTAAAAAATCTGGAGGCAACAGATGCTGGAGAGGATGTGGAGAAAAAGGAACACTTTTACACTGTTGGTGGGAGTGTAAATTAATTCAACCATTGTGGAAGACAGTGTGGTGATTCCTCAAGGACCTAGAAATAGAAATTCCATTTGACCCAGCAATCCCATTACTAGTTAATGGGATCTTATCCATGTCCAAAGGATTGTAAATCATTCTACTATAAGGACACAAGCACATGAATGTTCATTGCAGCACTGTTCACAATAGCTAAGAGCTGGAGCCAACCCACATGCCCATCGATGATAGACTGGACAGGGAAAATGTGGCATATATATATACCATGGAATATTATGCAGCCATCAAAAACGATGAATTCATGTCCTTTGTAGGGACATGGATGAACCTGGAAACCATCATTCTCAGCAAACTGACACAAGAACAGAAAATCAAACATCGCTTGTTCTCACTCATAGGTGGGTGTTGAACAATGAGAACACATGGACACAGGGAGGGGAGCATCACACACTGGGGTCTGTCAGGGGGAAATAGGGAAGGGAGAGTGGGGTGTGGGGAGTTGGGAAGAGATAGCATGGGGGGAAATGCCAGATGTAGGTGATGGGGAGGAAAGCAGCAAATCACACTGCCATGTGTGTACCTATGCAACAATCATGCATGTTCTTCACATGTACCCTAAAAGCTAAAATGCAATTTAAAAAAGAAAGTAGGTAATACCACATTTCTATCTGCTGTAGACACTTCTCCCAGTGTCTCAGTATGTTTTAGCATTTTTCAATGAAAATCAACTTTGTCAGTTCTTGATAAAAAACAAAAAAAAAAATAAGAAGCAACCTATTTAGAACTCCCTTGAACCTTCTATTTAAATGTATCTTTGTAGATAATTCCCAACATCTCATGTCCTTCATCTTTGTAATTTATCTTTATCAAACTTGTCATAAATCCCAACATTCTGATCTCTTATTGAAGAGTCCATACTCCTATCCAATCCAGTGTTGTTTCTCTTTAAACATGGCCTTCCTCTGCTCATTCCGTTCTTATCCACTTCCATTGGGTTCACAAGCTAATTCCATTCTCATTCTATCCACTGGATGCACCAGATTTCCTCACTCTTTGTACTATTAAAACACACACGAATAGGACAAAAAAGGAAGGAAGAGTTCTGGGATTTAAAATGAATTCACGTTTCATTATTGCCACTTCCTGTGTCTAAAAAAAGCAGCATTCTAACCTCTCTGAGTCTCAGGTTCTCTATCTAGAGAATCTTTGACCAGCGTGTTCAACACAGGTTAAAATACTAGAGGCTATTTTAATTAGTCCTAAGATTCCCAAAATTCTATAATTCTATGTGCTTTTGATTCCTTCTATAGGAAAACCGAGAGTACATAGCCAGCAGAATTTGATAAAATAATAGAGCAAAAGAAACAGCAAGAAAAGCAGAAAAGACAGTTTTAATAAATCAAGACAAGATGATAGGAAAGTCATAGAACAAGAAACAAGACTGAAAAATAGAGTGCTATGGAAGTAGGCAGAAATACTAGCCTTAAGGGAAAATTGAACTGGGAAGCCAAATAACTTCTCTCTAAAACTTACCTAAACTTGACTTTGTCAAACTTACAGTCCTATGGCCAAAGCTAAGTAAGATCGGCACTAAAGCCTTTGATGGTGAAAATAAAATACTGCTTACCACTGAAATTGTCAAATTTATTAGGATAAACTTTTGGACTAACTACATTCTAACAATAACCTTAAATGATAGTTAACATATAACTAGATTTCTTACATCTAAATTAATTTGTTAATTTATTAACTTATTTTTGTTATGTCTAAATTAATCTGATTCAGCCCTATACTTTGATTCAAGTGCTGCACATATCTCTATCAATCTATGCTGAGGAGCAAGAGAAGGGATTTGGAAGCCAGGCAGGCAGACGGTCAAACTATGGGTCAGCTACTTTGTTAACTATGGGATCATGAGCCAATTAATCAACTGCTCTAATCCATAGTTACCTATTTAATAAACAGTGAGTTATAGGAACACAGATGTTGTGATGGCTTTATGACATGATAAATGCATAGCACATAACAGGGTTCTAGCCCAGAATACAATACTCAACAGACATTAGTTTCTTCCATTTATATTTACTTAGTTAACATAATTTTGTAAATCTGTAAAATCCTACCTGACTGCAGATTCATCAGAGGTCCTGGCATCTATTAAAGAAAAGGGTAAAATGCATTTTAAATCAATAGTAAATGTATAGAATATGAAAAGCATATGAATGCACAGTGATGCATGCCTGTAATCCCAACTACTTGGGAGGCTGAGGCAGGAGAATCATTTGTGGAACACAGAATTTTAAGATCAGCTTGGAAAATATAGCAAGACTCTACATTCATTAAAAAAATGGTACACACTTGAGTGCATGCTTTAGAACACTTTTTTGTTTTATTACTATTATTTTTTTAATAATAGGTCTGACACTTTGTTAAAGCATTCCTTTGGGAGTATACCTGAGAATTTATTAGAAATAGCATTAATTATACCTGTTGGTAGGTAATTAATGCAGTAAGAACTCTTACTTCCCCTACTTAGTATTTATTAACTGCAAAGAAGAATAAATTTATCAAAATTTGATATCTACAAGTGAACTACAGTATATAAATCATCCCAGCCAAACCCTATGAAATTGACTAAAAATGATATTGCTAGCAGAACAGGTTTGATGAGTGAACAGTGTCAAAGGGCATGATTTCTGGACTTAAATATGAGGGGCAGTTAAAACAGAGTACACAGCAGAATCTCTTATTCACTATATGTGCAGAAAGACATACTGGACTTGTTTTTCTCTGCTTTCATGCCACAGGAACAGTAACCAACAAAAAAGTCTCCTGTTCCCAAACGTGTGGAGAGGTTTTCCCCACCAACAAGCAAGCAATAATTTCTGCAGATGACAAAAGCTGAATGTCCTCTAATTCAATTCTCACACTCTATCAGCAGATAACATGAGATCCCACAGCTAAAGGGCTCAGTACCACGAGACTGCTTCCCTGCATCAGTTCTAAGTCAGAAACTCCAGAGCTTCTGACCAACTGGCTTCAAATTGGGGTTCCCAAGACTCCCTTTTTGGGTTAAATTGAATTGCTAGAGTGGCTTGAAGTACCCAGAGAAAGACACTTACCCGCTTACTATGAATGAAATTACAAAAGGTACCAAAGAGAGGCATAATGCCAAGTGTGGGAGACGTAGCATGAAGATTCCATGCCCCCAAGGGCACACCACCCTCCAGGAACCTCTATGTATTCAGCCATCTGGAAGCTCTCCACACTCAGTCCCTTTGGGTCTTTATGAAAGCTTCATTGCCTAGGCATCACTGATTAAATAAATCACTGGCCATTGGTGACTAACAACCTTCAGTCCTTCTCTCTTCCCTAGAGTTTGCAGAGCAAGCCAGGAGATTTCTTGTTTTTTCTGGTGACCAGTCCCATTCTGAAGCTGCCTAGGGACTTCCAGCCATCAATCATTAGCAGACAAAGATACATCACTTTGGAAGTTCTAAAAATTTTAATAATTGTACACCAAGAAATGAGTAAAAGACCAAATGGATTTTATGTCTGTAGATTGATTTCTGTGGTTACAGCTACTAATAGTCAAGTGTATTCCAAAAATATTATATTGAAAACTCCTGAAATAAGTCATAAGTTTTAATGTGCCATTCTGAAAAGTGCAATGAAATCTTGAGTTATCCCCCTCTATCCAGCCCAGGATGTGAATCGTCCTGCAGTGCATCCACACTGCATATGCTATCCACCCATTAGTCATCAACTGGGTCTCCTCCTGCACCCGGCCATCAACATCATTGAGGCCTGAAGACCTAGGATCACTCAAAGCTGGTGATCTTTTTCTGTCTTAGAGTCAGGGGGTGAATAGTGGCCTAACACCACATTACAATGACTATGTTACTCACCTCACTTCACCTCATTACATAGGCATTGTATCACTTCACATCATCACAAGAAAAATGGTGAGAACTATACAATATATTTTAAGATACCACATTCAAATAATTTGTATTATGGCATATTATTATAATTTTATATTTTATTATTATTGCTGTTAATTTTTTACTGTACCTAATTCATAAATTAAACTTTATCATAGACATGTATATATAGGAAAAAACAGTGTGTGATTCAGTACTATTTGTGGTTTCAGGCATTCACTGGGGGCCTTGGAATGTATCACCCACAGTTCAGGGGGAGCTACTGCACTTATTTTGTTGAATACAGCACAGCCTCCATAGCTCTTCAGTTAAAACTGTTTAGTTTAGGATAAAACACCCTGTCACCAGAATCCAGCAAAACATAGGAATCAGGCCAGAAACAGGGATCCTTGCAAAGACTTTCCAGCTGCGAGTGGAGAAGGCTCAAAGAAATCAATGTGTTACTCTGGCTAGTACTCTTTGGGGTATTAGCCAAAGAGTATTGGGGAAGGTGCTGGGTGATTTACTTAGTTGTAGCTATGTGCTCTACCCTACATTTAACAAGGCCCAAATTAACCTGCCATTTTACTTTCCACAGAAAGAACCACTGGAAGGGTCACTCCTTTAATAGCTTATTCACTCAGAACTGCACCTCACATTCAGAGAGAAGCTTAAAGAAACACTGGGGAGGTGTGGCAGGCTGCCAGGCAGTACTATCTGATGTGAAAGATATATAGAAAAAAACTATCAATGCCCTCTTGCTACCAGAATGTGTCAATGCTTGCCCCTCTTCCCAGTAGGAGAAAAATAATCTTTTCACCTCACATAAATCAAAACAGTGTGACTCCCTTGCCATCCCTCATGACAAAGAATCTAGTTGTAAGTGAGTCATGTCATACACACTGTTGTCAAACTCATGCCTGAAAGGAAGAGGATCAGTGAGGACCATAAGTATTTACCTATGGCATAAGACTGTCTGGTCTTATTTCCAACTGAAGGTAAGTGTGAAAGACTTTGTGATTCCAGTTTTATAAAGTACAACCTCCTGAGCTTGTCCCCTTCCATTGCTAGAGAGTCTATCTGGAACCACCTCATAGAGCAAGATGCTCTAGTTTGTGCTGGGTGGTACTGCATGGTGGCATTTTCCTCAACCCTTTTCATTATGTGGCAAATATCTATACAAAGCATGTTTCCTAAGTATGTAAAGCATATGTCATCAGATCTTACAATGATAAAAAACAAAAGCAAAAGCAAGGACAAATAATATCTTAAATGGCTACATTCAATTACAATGGAACTTTAATATTTTAACTTCAAAAAGATACCCATTGTATTACTCCAACTATATGACTCTTCTGAAAAAAGTAAAACTATGCAGACAGAGTAAAGATCAGTGGTTGCCAGGAGTTGCTACAGAGAAAGGGAGAGATGAACTGGCATAGTATAGAGAATTTTTAGGGCAGTGAAACTGTTCTGTTGATAATATTACAATAATAGATACATGTCATTATACATTTGTTCAAATTCACAGAATGTACAGCATCAAGAGTGAAGCCTGATGTAAACTATGCACTTTGAGTGATTATAATGTGTCAATGTAGGTCCATCAGTTGTAACGAATGTACCACTCTGGTGGGAAATACTAATAATGGAGGAGGCTACCTATGTGGGAGGCATGTAACATATGAGAAATCTCTGTACCTTCCTCTCAATTTTGCTGTGAACCTAAAACTGCTCTAAGAAATAAAGTTATTGATTTATAAAAGATATTCACGACTGGGCGTGGTGGCTCACACCTATAATCCCAGCACTTTGGGAGGCCAAGGTAGGTGGATCACCTGAGGTCAGGAGTTTGAGACCAGCCTGACCAACATGGTGAGAACTTATCTCTACTAAAAATACAAAAATTGGCTGGGTGTGGTGACAGGCGCCTGTAATTCAGCTACTCGAGAGGCTGAGGCAGGAGAATCATTTGAACTCAGGAGGCAAAGTTTGCAGTGAGCTAAGATTGTGCCACTGCACTCCAGCCTGGGCAACAGAGTGAGGTTCTGTCTCAAAAAAATAAATAAATAAATAAATAAAATAAGAAAAATAGCTATTTACTGTCTATGCATCCCAGCATCTCCAGAACAAAAAATAAAACACAAGATATTCACTGAACCTGTTATTGTGATATAGTTAAGCAATATATGATGACCCTAAAATTAGAGATTATTGAAGATCAAAAGTAACAGCATGTGGGCATTATTTCTCAAATTGAAGTATATAAAACATATAAAACAAATTAATTACATGCTTAGCAAGAAAATATTGATAAAATAATTGAACATTTTATCTTAATGATTCTAAACATGGATTTAGAACAATATGAAAACTAGATTATTCATGTAATCAAATTAAAAGATAATTTATATTCTAATTTTAACTCAGAAATCATTATGCATATTTAATTTAACAATTTTACTGAAAGGTTAATGAGATAAGGACAGATAATAATTACCTAATGCTGCTATGGTAACTTACATACAAATAGCTGTTAGTCACTAAATGTCAAAAAAATAACCAGCATTGCAACTTAACATGAATCATACGACAGAAACTAGTACCAAGTTACCTTATCTTATAATATTATTTGATATTAAAATGAAATTTTAAAACAACACCAAAAATTAAGTTGGGGCTATAACTGTTGTGCAGGAAAAAATTTATATAGCAGGCAAGAGACTGCCAGCCTTGAAAAGGCCTGCATGCAAAGTCGGCCCTTGGCTGGCATTTAGGAAATAACTGTTGGGAGGGTTTCCCGCCATTCCCTGAGAAGAGTGGCTCACTGTGTCTAAAGCGTTTATAAAATGTGTGGTTACTCTGAGCAGCTGCTTTCCTTCTGGGAGTCTGGAATTGGGTACAAGTGAGGGAGAACAACCTCCATTAAAAAACTTGGGTACTTAGCCTCCAATGAGACTCTGATACTGGTAGACATCACTGCCCATGTGTTGTCAAAACTTGAGACTGGGAGAATTAAGCAGATGCCCAGAACTCCACAGGAGAGAACTCCTGGAGGCTTGTGCCTGGCTTCCTCCAGATTTGACCACGTGCACCTTTTCCCTCTACTATTTTTGCTTGTACCCTTTCATTGTAATAAATCACAGATCTGAGTATGATTATTTGCTGAGTCCTGTGAACCACCAAACCTGGGGGTGGTCTTGGGAACCCTTGAGACAAATACATCATGTGAGATTTTAATTAAATTGATTTGATATATGTGGCTGTAATCATATGGTTATTTCACAGAATAACATTCCCTAATCTGTTTTTCTTTTCTTTTTTCTTTATGTTTGACTTGGAGATTCTTGTATTTCTATATCTATCTAATTGAATAAAATCATAAAAGGAATAAATGAAACAGTGATGTCAGAAAATAATGTGAAATAAGCAGCAATCCTATTTTAACCGGAATAAAAAATAGAGAGTCTTGATGAATGATGATATGTTCTACAATATAAATATTTCTAGAAATAAAAACAATGAAAAGGTGATCAATTTTCTGCAACTCAACTGTGCTTAATTCCATTTTATAATAATTGTGCAGGCACAGATTATTTTATAATAATTGTGTAAGAGTATGTAACACAACTTGTGCTTCTCATGAATAAATTGTTTTTCCATCTTCTGTGCTCAGTAGCTATCTTCAAAAAATAATCTGCTGTTTGTATGGGTGCATGCTGGTTCAGTTTTACAGTTCTTATTGCCATTTATTTATGGTACCACAAAGGGACTGCTGAGTTCCTGGTTCTAAAGATAGTTACTTTCTTAGTGACACAAATCAATGTGTAATACAGTTCACCCTCAAACAGCTAGGGTTTGAACTGCAGGGGTTCACTTGTATGCAGATTTTCTTCTGCCTCTGCAACCCAGAGACAGCAAGAGCTACCTCTCCTCTTCATCCTCAGCCTAAGCAACCTGAGGATGACGAAGATGAAGACCTTTGTCAGGATCTACTTATGCTTTATGAAAAGTCAATATATTTTTTCTGATGATTTTCTTTCTAACGGCTTCATTTCTCTAGCTTACTTTATTGTAAGAACACAGTATATAATAATGCAGCCTAACAAAATAGCTGTTCAGCTGTTCATGTTATCAGGAAGGCTTTCGGTCAATGATGGGCTATTAGTAGCTAAATTGGGAGAATCAAAAGTTATACTCAGGTTTTCAACTGCACAGGGATCAGAGTCCGTAACCCCCACATTATTCATGGGTCAACTGTAATTATTTGTTTTACTAAATACAATCTATTATAAATTACTTATTTACTAAATACAAACAATTTATTATAAAAATAAAATAGAAGAGCCATTTATATAACAAGTCCAATTTGTTATAATGTGACTGTAGAGAAAACATACAACATTCTAAGATAAAAATCTTTTTCTTATTTATGAAAAAATATTAGATAGGATTTTAGGGATCATAATTAAGTGAATGGTGTTTTTCAGACAATAATGTTTGAGATTATAAATTAGCTACAACTACATTCTTAAATATATCATAATTCCAAGTTAATGAAGTTAAATTTAAAAAATTAATTTACATGTATGAATATACATATATTCACTTGCAATTTACACATATTTTTAAACTGGTCTTTTTAGATCAAAACTACTTTAATCTTACATCTTACTGTTTTATTTTTATTAAAAATAGGACCACCAAGAAAAATGAAAAATTCACTATCAGAAGTCTTACCTAGGTTGTAATTTTCAAGTCTCTCCTTTTTTTGTTTGGCATTTTCAATTGTCTCCTTTTTACATTCCATAATTTGCTGTTGAATTCTATGTATACAAAAGTAATAAATCAAATTGCTATTTTAATAGACAAATAAAACATATTTACCAAACAAATTCCATTTTAGGCAATATCAGAGCTAATATCAGAATTTTAATATCTCACACACTTTAAATATTTAAAACAATTATTAAGCTTCTAATTTAAAAAATAAAGGTGAAGTACTCATAAATGAAGGAAGCATAGCCCAGTAAATCAACCATAGTAAGCTGGACATAGTGCAAAGTGTCCTGCACTCAGGATAAGTTCTTGCTCTGTAATCAAGAGGTATTTTGTTTTCAGACCAGTTGCTTTTCTTAGGCTCCATGGTTTCTTCTAAAAAATAAGGATTTTGCCACCTTACTTCACTAGGTTGTTAGGAAGATGTAATGAGATTACATGTTTAAAAGTTCAGAGAAGCTGCCAGGCATAGTGGCTCACGCCTATAATCCCAGGACTTTGGGAGGCTGAGGTGGGCAGATCACCTGAGGTCAGAAGTTTGAGACCAGCCTGGCCAATATGGTAAAACCCCATCTTTAAAAAAATAAAAAATACAATACAATAAAAGTTCAGCAAAATAGTAAAGCAATGGAATAATTCATTCTTGAACTTTATTGCTGCAACTATTTTGGAATCCCAAATAAAACTTGATGTGTGTTTTTCCATAGGTTCTAATATTCAAATGTTTCAGTTTTCAGAAAATGCTATTAAGTGCTAATTTTGGTTATTTGTTGTATTGACTGTGGCTTATAATAATTCAGGGCATTTAATTAATTCATAATTATAACTATATATATGTGTATATATATACACACACAAATAAATCTTATTAAAAGAGATTACCTAGTTGTCCACTATCACTGAGTTCATCAATTACACCAAGGGCAGAAAACTAATAGATACTAAAACCAGGCTTGCACAACTATCACCCCTTCTTTACCTCCTCAAACTCTGAGCCAGCAGATCTGTGCTAGGATGCTGCGTCTCCATGATTCTCTCCAACTAACATACAAGACAAAACCCTGTTTTTACTGATTTTCAGTTCCATGATTTCCTTCATGGAACTGCAAGTTTTCCAAGTACATTTCCAAGACATGTACTAACAACATGTAACATCCCATTATTAATCAGCTCTGTTCTCATTTCATAGATCACCAAACATCAATAGTTTTATAGTGATAATGACAATTTCAATATTGTGTCTCTCCTGTTTTGGTTTGACTCACACTCCTTCCTTGTAGCTAGTCAACAAATAGTCAAGTGACCTTCCAAAGACAATGCAAAATGTGGAATGCTTTATGACTTTGTGTGGCATCCCTGGGCAGCAGCCATGCTTATCTGCTCTGTATCGATCCAATTTTAAAATATGTGCTGCTGAAGCAAGTACAAAGCCCTGTTTGATACATGGGTACTCAAGAGTCATGGATGAGGCTTAGCTCTGTTAAATCCAACCCACTTACTTTAGATTCAGATAATTTTATTGAATGGCTTCCGGTGAGGTAGAATTTTAAAATATATTTAAAACTTGAGGAAGAGATGCAAGTAGCCTGAGAGATTTTCATTATTATAGAGACACATTACTTGTGGGGCCAACTGCTAGTTGGTTCCCACTACTCTGTGGAAAGGTAACATGGAATCTTCTGCTACCTGACCAGAGCTGCTGCACACACTATAAAAAAGCCTTAAGGTACAGACCTGATAGCAAAAGGGAAAGGGAAGTCTGTTCTCTTCCTGCAAAATTATTTGAACATCCCTGACTGTTGACAGCAATCCCAACTTATATGTATTAGAGAAAGGACAAACCAGGGTCTCAAAGAATAACTTACCGTGAAGGCTTAGGCTAAGTCTAGATAACAGGTGGGCTCCAAATAAAGGTTTTTAGTGTAGGGGGAGTATCAATTTACTCAATATTTGTGTGGGTAAAACTAGGAGGCCTAGCTGCCAGAGCAGGGTGCTGAGAAAAATGACTGAGCATAATTACATAAACTAATAAACACTGTAGCTTTGAACTCTATGTATAAATTACCATGAAAACTGAGGGATCTGAATCAGTGCAGGCATCCTGGTGGCACAGGTCAATCATTATCAGATTGCAGGATCAGTTACAGTGGCCACAATACAGTAAGTAAATACATGGAAACAACAGCATGATTACAGTGGCCTTTTCCCCCTTGACTTGTAAAGAAAGATTGCCTTCTTTGGACTTAGGAAACCCCTTAGCTTCTTGGAAAATTCAAAGAATGAAGACACAGGAGGTAGCCCCAAATGGAACATTTCAAGACCTAATAATATTTATAAAGGCAGGCAAGGCATGGTGGCTAGCACTTTGAGAGCCCAAGGTAGGAGAATTACTTGAGCTCAGGCGTTCAAGATCAACCTGGGCAACATAGTGAGACCTTGTATCTTAAAAAAAAAAAAGGCGGGGGGAAGAAAAGAAGTCAAAGATGTGGCTCTATTTTTATCCGATGCTTGCGAATTATACTTAGAATAAAATGAACAACTTTGAGATCCCTAGGGACAAAGGTCTTAAAAGTCCTGCAAAAAATCTTACTCTCTACTTCTAACTAATCTAGCCTTCTGCTTGATTTATGGCTGAAAAGTAGACTAGCTCATTGTTATTTCAAACGATCTGAACCAAACTATGAACTCTCACCTAATGTATAAGATGCAATAATTGCAATTATTTTAAACTTCAATTAAACACTTACATTGTCGAACCACGAGAAACAGCATAACCTTCTGCATCTTTTCCATGTGTATCTCGAGCAAAGACATTAACCTTTTGCTCAAGAAGGATTTTGACCATATCTGGTGTGCCATGCTCTGCAGCAGCCATGAGAACTGTTCTAAAATAACAAAGAAATAACTCCACTCAAGAACTTTAATAAAGACATTTTTAATCAGCTAGTTTGATACACTTTACCAATATAATATCCTGCCTGTCAGTGTAGTTGTAATAATCATTTACATGGACTAGCTTATGTCGATAAGCATCTTGGGTGCTCAAGTGTTCATCTTTGTAAATTATCACCAAGGCTAAAGGAAAGAGACAACAAGAAAGCCTCTTGTCCCACTGGGGTATGACATAATACAAGTTGCTAATGTATAGTCCTTTGATGGCCAAGAAACTGTGCTGAGGTCACTTATGTAAAGTAGGCAAAAATTTAGATAAAGATTTCTGCATTGCTTTTCCAGTGTGATATATTGTAATTTAAATCAGTTAGGGGTCAAAGAAGAGCTATCTGCAGGCTAAAAACAACAACAACAACAACAATAATGGCAATACTAGTAGTCATAAACTAAAAGTCCACACTTTAAAAATTAATAAAACTGGCCACGTACAGTGGCTTATGCCTTTAATCCCAGCACTTTGGGAAGCCAAGGCAGCTGGATCACAAGGTCAAGAGATCGAGACCATCCTCGCCAACATGGTGAAATCCCGTCTCTACTAAAAATACAAAAATCGGCTGGGCATGATGGCCCATGCCTGTAGTCCCAGCTAGTTGGGAGGCTGAGGCAGGAGAATCGCTTAAACCCAGGAGGTGGAGGTTGCGGTGAGCTGAGATTGCACCACTGCACTCCAGCCTGGCAACAGAGCGAGACTCTTTCTCAAGATAATAATAATAATAATAATATAACAAATACAAAATCATTTAGCTAAAATAAGATTACAGGACCAAAAACATCAGATTACAAGTAACGAACACTCTATAAGAGAAGATGAATTCTACTACATACTGTTTTCTATGTTGCTCAATCCAAATATTTGCTTTTCTACCTGATTATTTGTGTTGATATTTTCAACTATATGCCAATAATTATGTCAGTCTTCTCATTAATACTTCTGACTTGAGTGACTAACACTCTAGAACACTGAGGTTTTTATTAAAAAGAAGAAGATGAAGATGTACCGTCCGCAGTTATCAACTGCATGTATATTTGCCTGGTTTTTTAACAAACATTCCATTGCTTTCTGACTCTTGAAAGATATAGCATAAAAAAGTGGTGTGATTCCATCCTATAAAAAAGCAGAAATAAATAATTCACAAAATTACGTTTTTAACTGAACTGAAAATCTTCTCTAAGATGCTTTGAAGTTCAACATACAATACAGAAAAGAAGTAAATAAAAAGCAGCCTCTTCCTTCTCACTCCTCTGTGCTTTCTGATGCGCTGTTGTTCGTCTTGCAAACACCCTTCTTCTGCTTCCCTGCATTAATGGTTGTCATTGCCAAAACTCACTTCAAACATTTTAACCAGTCCCAAGAATCCTTGCCTTTATCACGGCACTTAGCATGGTATATTATAATCATTTTGTTGCTTCCCACTGAAATCAAGAGCTTCTTGAGAGAAAGGCCTGTATCTTTTGTCTCTCTAGCCCCATAATCTAAGACACAGTAGCAAACACTTTAGGTTTTTAATGTAAATTAGTAATCTAAGTATTATCCCTAAAGCAGTGTTTCTTAAACTATATTCCAAAGGGCATTTGCTTTACCAGAAGTATTATACCCCAAGAGAAAAACTCCATGACCATCTGCACTTGAGAAGTATTACAAAACTGTATTTTATGTCTAATAGTCAAGAAATCTCTTGAATTTTACCTAATCCCCATTTGACAATATTTTTTGTGGCAAACATTAACATTTGAGTAATTGACAGCTTCAAAGATACAGTTGCCAGAGCTTCCCAGTACAGGTGGTGGTTTCCTCTGGGTGGTACAAACTTGCTTGATTCATTTCTATTATGGTGTCAGGATCCCAGATGCCAATGTCAGGCACTCTTGCTTCAAATGGGTCACTAAGAAAATGAGCTCTGAATTAAGAGAGATTGGCATCAAATATGCTTATTTTCCTTATTATTAAATAGTCCATGGGTTTTTTTCCTAATACAAGAGAATAGATTATTATCTTAACTGTTAGAAAGCTCAGTATGTTCTGTATAAGAGGGATAAGTTTAAAAAGCTTAAAAATAATTATTTAAAGCTCAGTAAGAAATTCTATTCTCAATTATAATGGTAATCCTGGGACCCCAATGCAATTCTACTTTTAAAATCCATTTTTATTGGTTTTCATTTAAATGGCTATTTAAAATTATTTTTTATTTTAGGCAAAATATAAATCAGAAATAAAAATATAATGGCTTATCAGTAAAAATTCTCATACTGATCCATATGGATTATTTCTATCATAATTAAAGAAAATAGGTCACTTGCATTTTTTAAGGAAGATGGCTGAGGAGAAAGATGTAATGGCTGTAATATTCATAAACTCTCCAACTACAGCCAGGAATAACCTATAAAGGTTTCCAGGTATTATTATGGACAGATGATTATTTGTGGTATATATAAAGAAAAAGAGTTTTAAAAATTGTAAATTCTAAATTCTAAAATTGAACCCCATAACTGAGGGATTTATATAATCTATACACTACCTATTATAAGCAAATACATGCTGACTTAAAAACCTTGACATCTTCATCAAAATATACTACGGCATAGGAGTTGTAAACTCAAATATTAACAAGGACTCAGGAAGGTTGCCTAGGTAAGGGAAAAACTGAGGTGTGCACAGTCACAGACTGGAGACTACATGCCTTCTATAAAGGGGCAACGTCTGCACAGCAGACCAAACATGATAGAAACTAACTCAGGGAACACCAGATTTGATTTTTTAAGACAAGCCTGAAGTCCAGATTTCTGCACGAGTCTTCTAAATTTTACATATTGACTCAATTTATGGCGACAAACAAATCTGTGCACCGCATTGGAATATAGCACTTGTGTTTTTATATTTGACATGAATGTATTCATAAATGGTTGTGTATAATTTAAGTATTTGCATATAAAACATTTTATTTATCTAGTATCATATGTTGCCAGGGTCCATCCTCCCACAGACCCCAGCTGCATGACAGATGAATGAATGCAGTCAGATACAAATTTCCAGTGAACAAGTTAGCTAAGGAGTCATGAGCCACTCACAGAGAGAGATCACAGCTACATAACCCTGACTAGTTCACCCTCTCCCCATTTATTCAGTACAGGTTTAATAACAGAGGCTCTAAGTTAACACTACGAGTTAAGCTCTAAGTACAGAAAGATTAAAGGCCAGGTTCTGAGCCCAGAGCAAACACTATTAGAGGGTAATCTCCCTGGTCAACTTCCCCCGAAGAGGGCCATTTGACTCAAAGGTTAATTTTAAGACCACATAAGTAAACAAGTTATTCAGATAAACTCCCCCACATAGCCTAGCCATTTGCTTTCCTTATTAAATAAAGGTAAACGGGATTTAGGCTGCCTTCAGCTGAAACGTCTACTAAAACTATGTAAATTTCTTGGCCCTCCAAGAAAGTTTGTGACTATAGTCCATAATTTTCTCTAATATTTTTTCCTGAATATTTTTGCCACTGCCCTGAGTGAATGTTTTAATATGTTAAAACATATTAAAACAATATGTTTTAACAAAGAATCGGTGCTTTGAGAAAGACGGCCGTTTAGGAACAGCTCAGGATTGCAGCTCCCAGTGAAAGCGCAGAGGGTGAGTGGACGCCGCATTTTTATTGCCCACAGACTAGGAAATTCCCGGGCAGAGGTGCTCCACGGTCGCCAGCACGGCTGTTTCAGCCAGCGCGGCCTTGCCGGCCAGCGCCGCTGCTTTGCCCAGCGTGGCTGCTTTATCGGCGCTCCGGAGCCGCGGTTCTCCGTACAAAATACGCCGGTCCAGGGGCCCTTTTGGCTGGCGATTGGAGCCACAGGAAGTTGCCCGTACGCCGGTTCAAAAAGGGGACTGAGCAGAGAACCAGGACAGTAGATTCCAGGGCAAAAAAAAAAAAAAAAAAGCGCCACAAACCTCAGTGCCGCTGTTTAAGCCAGCGCAGTGAGTGGCCGCAGGGGAAAACAAACAGACCCCGGCACCTCTTCAACAGGCGACTGGAACGCCAACTTAAAAAAGGCTCTGAGGCAGGGAGCCAGGCGATCAGGCTCGGCTGGCCCCACCCCCACAAAAGAACAGCAACCAGAAACTCTGGATTGAGAGTTTCACAGCAAGTGCAGCTGAACCCGGGATGGTCCAGCTCTGTGGGGGAGGGGCATCCGCCATTACCGAGGCAGCCCGCCGTTGCCAAGGCAACCCGCCATTGCTGAGGCAGCCCGCCGTTGCCAAGGCAACCCGCCACAGCAGAGACTCCACCCCAACAGAGGTGGGCCACCATCTCCAAAGCAGTTCTAACTACACCCATATAAACAGGACTGTAGGGAAGTTCACTCCGCAGCTGGGTGGAGCCCACAGCAGCTCAGCAAAGCTGCTATAGGCCAACAGTGACTAGGCTGCCTCCTTGCTGGGCTGGGCAGGTCTGAAGGGAAAAAAAAAAAAAAAAAGAAGGCGGCAGCATAACTGAAACTCATAAATAAAGCCCTAAATCCCTGGGACAGAGCACCTGGGAACAAAAAGCAGTTTATGAGTTCTGCTGCAGCAGACCTAAAAGTACCTGCCCAGCAGCTCTGAATGAACAACAACAGAGCTCGCAGCTCACCATTTGAGCTCCTATAAAGAAGAGACCGTCTCCTCAAGCGGCTCCCTGACCCCTATATATCCAAAAAGACACCTCATAAAAGAGAGATCAGATTGACACTAGGCGGGTATCCTTCTGGGACAAAGATAGCAGCAGAAGAAAACTGGTAATAATCCTTGCTGTTCAGCAGCTGCTGCAGGTGAACCCCAGGCAAGCAGGGCCTGGAGTGAACCTCAGCAGACCTACAGCAGGGGGGCCAGACTGTCAGAAGGAAAACCAAGAAACAGAAATAACCTCATCATCAACAAACAGAACATCAATCTGAAAGATTTGAGACCCAATCTGAAAGCCAGCAACTACAAAGTAGACAGGTGGATAAATCCTTAAAGATGGGAAGAAACCAGCGCAAAAAGGATGAAAACACCCGAAACCAGAACACCTCTCCTCCTAAAAGGGATCACAACTCCTCACCAGCAAGGGAACAAGGTTGGATGGAGAATGAGTGTGATGAAATGACAGAATCAGAATTCAGAAGGTGGGTAGTAAGAAACTTCTGTGAACTTAAAGAACATGTTCTAACCAAATGCAAAGAAACTAAGAACCTTGAAAAAAGATTTGACGAAATGCTAACAGGAATGGACAAAATAGAAAGGAATATAAGTGAATTGATGGAGCTGAAAAACGCAACACGAGAACTTCGTGAAGCATGCACAAGTATCAACAGCCGAATGGACCAAGCAGAAGAAAGGATATCAGAGGTCGAAGATCAACTCAATGAAATAAAACGGGAAGGCAAGACTGGAGAAAAAAGGGTAAAAAGGAATGAACAAAGTCTCCAAGAAATGTGGGACTATGTGAAAAGACCTAATCTACGTTTGATAGGCGTACCTGAATGCAACGAAGAGAACGAATCCAAGCTGGAAAATACTCTTCAGGATATTATCCAGGAAAACTTCCCCAACCTAGCAAGGCAGGCAAACATTCAAGTCCAGGAAATACAGAGAACACCACAAAGATATTCGTCAAGAAGAGCAACCGCAAGGCACATAATCGTCAGATTCACCAGGGTCGAAATGAAGGAGAAAATACTAAGGGCAGCCAGAGAGAAAGGTTAGGTTACCCATAAAGGGAAGCCCATCAGACTCACAGCAGATCTCTCAGCAGAAACCCTACAAGCCAGAAGAGAATGGGGGCCAATATTCAACAACCTTAAAGAAAAGAACTTTCAACCCAGAATCTCCTATCCAGCCAAACTAAGCTTCATAAGTGAAGGAAAAATAAAATCCTTTGGGAACATGCAAGTACTCAGAGATTTCGTCACCACCAGGCCAGCTCTACAAGAGCTCCTGAAAGAGGCTCTACACATATAAAGGAACAACAAGTACCAGCTCAACTAAAGGGCAAAACAGCCAGCTAGCACCAAAATGGCAGTATCAAATTCACACATAACAATATTTACCCTAAATGTAAATGGACTAAATGCCCCAATCAAAAGACACAGACTGGCAAA